GGAACAATTTTATGTAATTCTCAGAAGTGGCATCTCATTATATTGGTTTAATGAAAGAAGCAAGCAAGCTGACCTCCCATGAGAGTGCATGTGGCCTGCGGTGTTCAGACTTCAGGGTCGTTGGTGGCCCATCAATTAATTGAGAAGAGGATCTTTTCACTTTCTCGAATTCCTCTACCCTAGAGTTTAATTCCTTAAAATCTGATGCAGCTTCTTCAAGAACAAGAATGGCCTCTTTTGTCTGCTCCAGATCACATTCTAGTTCACAAAGAAGATAAAGTTCATCTATGGCCCTATTAAGATTCTCAAAGAGAAAGCACCATAGCCGCTGCCTGAATCTTTCTTTACTTTCACCCATGTCATCTGCACCTATAGCACTCATAATTTGGGCTTTTGAAATAGTATCAATGATTGTATGAGTCTTTTGATCCTCACAGTATTCAACAGAGGATGTCATAGTAGATTCTCCTAAAGTTTCGGTCCTACTCTTTTCAGGCAGTAGTACCTCAGAATCTTGGGAAATCACTCCTGTGCTTGACCCCCCATTCATAGATGGTAATTCAGAAATTACTACATCACCTGCTTTGGATATAACAGCAGGTGCTGGAAGTTCCACCATCCCAGCCTCTTCAATGGCAGTGTATATAATATTTTCACCAGACTGACTACTGGCACCCCAGGCGTCATCATTGACTGCTTCAAGAGGTTCAGGATGGGTTTTCCCGCAACTTGAAGTATTACCACTTGGATCAACTATATTCTCATTTGTAATTTGTACTTCAACATCTTCTGAAGATACTGCAGTGACCTCTTTACAGTTCTCTTCGAAAGATTCATTATGTGCCCGCTGAGGAACAAGATCTGCCTCTGCAGATGTTGCCTGCAACTCTTGGGGCTCTATACAAGAAGACATGCACGAAATTGAAGTACCAGAATTATCAGCCTTCCCACAGAACAAATTATCAACTTCAAATCCACCAAACTTGATTTTCGCTCCAACAGTGCTTCCACCATGCAATACCAGGGCTCCACCATCCAAATCACCCAACTTGATTTTCGACAGAACATCAGGATTTTTTATCTGTGGATATTCTTCATGATCTCCTGTTCTAGAATCAGCATCTTTAACATTTACAGCTACTGAAAGAGGTGAACTGGGGCATTCATCATCTTGACTGACTACACATTTATCAAGGTACTGCACGTCCATCCGATCTTCAGTTGAAACAGAACTAGAATTCGAAACTCTACCCAGGCTCTGTACAACAAAATCTCCACTTGCTTTTGGAGGCTGTCTACCACACTTAACATGTGAATTTCCACTTCTAACATTCAACGAAGGCTGACAGTGCTGAATATTAGGACTCTGTTTTCCAGAGAATCCTCCAACCCAACCATGAAAGGAAAATTTTGAACTATTTCTATGCTTCTGGAAAAGAAAGGAAATATAAGACTCAAAGCATACCACTAGTAATAAGATAAATTCATAGATGTTATCATGCTCAAGTGCAAGGTCCTGTCCCAGGTCATTAACAAGAAAGCATCAGAACCAAAAACCTAATATAATCCATCAGTTCTTTTGTTTGTAAGGGAATGGAGGGTCAAATGCGCACTTACTCATTCCCTGTTCTTTTGCTTTGGGTTTGTGGAATAAATTGTTTAATGTGTTTGGATAAGCTTGGGTTTGTCCTCGTACACTGGAGAGTTAAGTGCTAGAGTTTTGGAAAGAGTAAAAAACTACAGTTCTTTGAAATTGTGCGTTGATGGTGGTTCTTTGGTGTATTTGACTAGAAAGAAATGCAAGAATTTCCCAGACCGTTCTCATCCACTAGACTTAGCATGAGATAGAATTATGTTCCTTGCTTCTTTATGGACCATATCCATGGAAATTTCAGTAGGGCGCCGCTATCGAATATTGGAGGGCGGTTCTATTTCATCTTTTCATTGCTTTTTTTGTAGTTTATTTTATATATTCAAGGGGATTTTGTTCTTTCTTTCTTTTGAGGCTATCATGTCCTCCATCTGTATTTAATTTCCCTCTTACTTAATCTTAATAATATTCTTCTTCATCTAAAAATAAAAACCTCATTCATAAATTTCAAATAAAAGAGAACTTAATAACAAGAGAAGTATTGAAATATTACACATGGAGTTTGCTAGAACTTGTCCCACATCGACTAAATACCCCCTCTCAAATGTTACTTGTGAGTTTCTTCCCTCACTGCCAACTGATTTTGAGAAGGGTACTTTAACATAAATGAAAATCACATGCAATCAAAAAAGAAAAAATCAATACGGAAATCTGCAACAAGAAAAAGTGTATATAGATAAAGATTTATATGGCATCAGAAAATAAAAAAAAAAAAGGGGGGGAAACGAGAGCAGAGTAAGTGACACTAAAAAATAAAGAAGGCATCTAATAAACTCAAGAGTGCCTTATCAAAAAAAAAAAAAACTCAAGAGTGACATAGTTTCTCTTCTCAAGGAATGTGGAAAATTAGTATGCCAGCCTACAGAATGTTTTAACCAATGTAGACACAAAAAAGGCACATTGTTTGATGTACAAGGAGACTGAAGCAATTACTGGTGCCTGAACCATATGATGTTCAGATTTTATCATTCTCAACATTAACAGTTACTTGAAAAATCAAATAATTGTAGTCTTCTTGTACGATGCACTCGATATATTATGCATCCCATTATCTCTTATGTGATCTACATCCTAGACAATAAGAAAACAATGCAGCATAAAAGATAAAAGAATTCTCATTTTCCTGTATTTTTTCTCATTGTTTATTTTAACTAATGGTATGTGTCCATTTGACCCTGTTGTGTTCAAAATACGTGCAAGTGCATCCAGCCCATGTTCCTATTAGTTGGTTCAAATTTGTTCAAGCAGACTGTTGATGACAAAGTTGTACTTGACAGATTTGCAAGATACTCAAAAGTAACTTTCACAGCATCCAAAATTGTACTGTGCCAAGTAGTAAACGTGCATAGGCATGCAACCTGTTCCTGGAATAATTGTGGGAAAACATAATACCAACTACATCGGCATATATCATTAGCTCTGCAAACTAAAGAAACTGACTATTTCAAACTGGTCATGTTACTCGGTCACCCTAACCCAATTCTATCATGTTACTACGGTCACCAAAGGACATATACAAATGCCCCTCTTCTAACTTCTACCACTGGGTTGAAGTAATTACCTGCTTTGTAGCAATTAACTCCCCCCCACCCCAAAAAAAAAAATTACTTACTGTGTAGCTATTCTCAGAAAAACAGAATTTCTTCAAATACCATGAACAATACGTACATTTTGATTATTTTAAGTGATTACCAACACAAAATTTTACACAAGTTTCTCTCAGTGAGATTGTGAAAAAATTACCTCATTTGACATATACCCAAATTCCTCAAACTCGAGTCCAACTTAATGGAGTTATTATTGTCTATGAAAAAACAACCTCTATGTTGGGAAATGGGAACAATCATCTGTGTCCCAAAAACCTATCAAAATTTCACTTTTCCTATAATCCTTTCCTATCTGCAGTTCCTCTCCAGATATTGAAGCAAACAATTTCAGATAGATAAACAATAAAAACTCAACATATACAAGCAAACAATCACCACCTTCCACAAAATCTAAAGTGGTGCATAAAGGAATACAACTAAAACGGAATTAAGAAAGACATTTTTCTTTATCTTTACTGATACTGATGATTTTTCGGGCATCTAAAAATCAAAAGGAAGATCTTTCCTAAGTTGGAAAACCAGCACATCAAATTCTTTAATTTTCCAATGTAAATGGAGTCAATACCACAATAGTAGTAAACTATTCAGGTGCGATTTCTTAGTTAAATTCCACAAGAAATATTTAAAAATGACAATTTTCAATAGAAAGAATCAACAAACACCATTTTTTTTTCTTTTCATGATAAGACAAATAAACACAAATTCAGGACAATTCCGCAAGTGGGCATGTTAAAAAAATGACACCTTTTTCACTTGCAACCATCCAGAGGTTGGATCATCCACTCCTTCACAGCTCTCCATCACGACCCCAGATTTCTATCCCCCAATAAGAATTACTATTTTACAACAAAACCCCCAACTTTTCATTTATACTCAATTGACTCCAAGAAATTGCTCTCTTTCCCGATTATACACAAGCAAATGAAACTAACATGAGTACTGAACAATACCAATTACAATCAACTCAAGAATTACACAGAGAAGGTGGAAATTGCAATGCCCGCGTTTTTTTCAAGAATTTTGATGGAAATAAAAGCTCGGGAAATGGAATAAATAGCATAAAGATGGAAGTTTTAGGAAATTTTCAGAATAAAAATGTGGGGTTTTTGCGAACTGGGTAGCTAATATATGGTGTTTTTTATCAGGTTTCTCGAGTTGCACGGATGTCTGGGAAAATCAGAGAGAGAAGAGAGAGAGAAAGAGATGACAATGGTGAAAGTAGTTTTATACAGCTTTCAGAATGAGAATAGTGACGGAGAGAATGCTGTCTGACAGATCTCTCCTTGACTAAACCTCACAATGACGGATGCATCCCTTGCATTTCAAAGTTTCATTTGACTGAAGATTGGTACAAATATTAAAAGAATTAAAAAAAATATAAATTTCATTATCATTTTTAGAGTGAATGCACCTCAAAATATCATTAAATTCCTAATTTATACCTTAAAATATTTAAATTCAAATAACTTAAACGGAAGTTGGAGGGGATATAATTAGTTAGAAAACGTGAATTATTTTGTTTTTTGTTCAACGATCAGGGGGTTCGAACTACCTTACATACACTATGATTAATTCTTTCATCGATCTGGTCAAAAACAGGTCATTCACGCCGGAACTAGAGTACTCATGAGAGATAAATTTCTTATTATCTAACCTAAAAAAGTTGCTAAGTGATGGTGCTCAGAAATTTTTCAGCCCAAGCCTAGTAGATAATATGATGAGATAGTTAATAGTTCTGTTAGGTAAGTGATCGGCTAACGATGAATATCAAGGAAAGAAACATAAGTGGTTCACCTTAGTCAAAAGATTAAGACTACGTCCACTGTGAAGGGAGTCTCCTGCTTCTCGAGGTTGTTGCTTAATCCTTTGAGAGAATTATAGGGATACAAACGCTAGGTTCATTATAGGGGGTAAGTATTTTTCTCTATCTGTTAGGGTTTCGACTTAAGTGCCTAGATAGGAAGGAGAGGGTTTAGAAGATCATCCCCGTCCATCAGGTAACAGTTCTTTATTTATACAGTGATTCCCCTAGGGTTTTTTGCTGCTCTTCTTTCTTTGGTGCTGATCTCTTAGGTCCTCTCTTCTGCACCTTGTAGCTTTTCCTGACATCTGGTGTCACTGTTCATTTGACACTACTATTACCACGATCTCTGGTGGCTATGTGCTCCATCCTTTCTCTGCTCTGTGGCTGTCATAGGTGTCAGAGGTGGTCCCTGAGTCCCTAGGATACGTGTTGCGACGAGAATGATTCGGGGAGGTTATTCGGACCAAACTTCCATCCTTTGGGTGCTCACCTGATGGGCTGGACTTGGGTCATGTTGGATTGTAAATTCCTTGCTGATGTTGGGTTTTCTCCATCGGGCTTGGCCTTTTAGGCTAATGAGGCAGACAAATGGTAGGCCTCCCCTTTGGGTAGCTATGTAATTGAAGGACTCCTGGACCCATTGGGCTGCTGGATCATGAAGGCCCGTGCTAAATTTCGCCCTTACCACTAAGATTCAAATTTTTAAGTTTATAATTCGTCATTATTATCACTTGAGTCTATAGTAATTTTATTTTATTTTTTTCTTTTTGAATTCCCCGTGGTTGTAGTTAATAGAATTCCAATTAATGTAATAGTTTTTGTTTAGGTTTGATCTGTTCATTCAAAGCTTTTGTTTCACCATAAGATGTGAAATTATGTTTTGTCGACAAATGGGTGGTGCTTTAGACAAGGTCACATGAAGTTTGACATTTATCAAATGTTCTTTTTATGCATGGCAGCTAAGAATTCTTTGTCTGGCTACCTTGTCCACATGGTCGCAAAAAGGCAACCCATACCCCCTCCAAACTTAGGCTAATGATATTTAAACCCATTTCCACAAATTTGGCCCCATTATGATGTTGGGTTTGTCACGAGAAAATGAAACGGTAATACTCAATTTGATATAACTATAAATGTTAGAGTTGGATTTGTGTGGTGTATAAAATTTGTAGTTTTAATCCACAATAGCTAAGGATTCCACATGGTCACAAAAAAAGCAACCATTTCCTCCAACTCTTTCTTCATATTGTGTGCGTGGGAAACTGTAATACTTGTTTGATGCAGTATGATATGTATTTACTATCTAAAAACATTTTTATTGATGATATGTAAAACATTGCATATTAAAAGTGATGCTATAATATTATTAAATCAAAAGTTTTTAAAATGTAAGAACATTCAAAAAAAGTTAAAGGATAATCTAGAAAATCAAAAATTTATTACTTAAAAATCTGACCATTATAGTTATTAAATTAATACCAAATTTCAATGTTTAATAAAACCCATAGTCAATTCGAAGATCATGATAGCATTGCTCAAAATAGAATGGATTAGAATGGTACATGTGTTAAGAGAGAAAACCGAATAGCCTAATTTTTAACTTGTGATTGAATTATGATTGGTTGGACTTGGTACACACAGGTTGTAAATAGTGACCCTTTGTATTAGGGTTTGTGCTAAATTAAGGTTGTCAGTACAAGAATTGATTCCCATTTTCGCTTGTGTCTTATAAGTAGGCCTAACTTTTTTTAGCACGACTCTTAAATTTGATACGACATAGACAACTTTAAGTTTAGTTTTAGTACCAATATGTCTTTGGTCTAATGATACTCCTTACCTTATGAAAGTTTTACCTTCTTGAGGTCAAGGGTTTAAGTCCCCTTCCACCTCCCAAAATAAAAAAAAAAGAAGAAGTTTAGTTTTGGTGAGTTTGGGTGGTAAACCGGGTAGGTCCATTAAGTTTCTCAAATAAATGGATTGACTTTATACAAAATAAACATGACTTGAACAAAACTCATAGATTACACAACATAAACCTAACTCACGAATATAAATGAATTAGGTATGAGTTAAACAAATTTTAATATGACACGAATTAGATACAAGACACAATCAATGGAAACTCCTACTTATAACTTCTTGCCCATTAAAAATCGGAGTTATAGCTGGCTGCATGCATTTAAGGATTATCAAGCAGATTTTCTTTTTATTGATAATTAATAGCAGTAGATTTTTCATTTATTACACAAAAACAAAAACAGCTGTGCACTTATTAAAGACAGATGGTTGTGTTGCTAAGGAGATGAGAACCAAGAGTAGGACAAAGCTGGTTAGATTTGATATGGCAGAAGAGATGAGCACACAATCGAGTAATTAAGTTAGACCAAAAGGACTTTCAAAGCTTTTGGTTCAGCCATTTTCATGCCCAATAAACTCCTAAACTTGAATTTTGATTTCAATTGCCTATCCAAAATAACCATGATTTTGTAATTATTTGCAATTGTTTTGTTAACGCTGTACAAAAAACAGCAACTTCCTCTATAGTTCTCTATGTATAATTCACTCATTCAATAGTGAATTTTGGGGCGTCTCTCTGTGAATTTTTTTTTTTTGGATCTTTAATTTTAATATAAATCTATATGTTTTTATATATCACACCAAATTCTGAATATGACATTGGAGAATTTATTCATAACAAAAACTATATCATAACTGAAAATTCAACTAGAAACATAACTGTATTATAACTATGCCATTACACTCTTCTTATTAGAAACCATATTGGTAAAGGTGAACATGGATACCAAAGATATTTAAAAGGGTAATTGAACATTGAAACCTTCAAATCACAAAAGAAAGCTAGTGCTCAAGCACAATGAAGGTTATCAGTAGCTAGTCCTACAAGTGACATGTAAGTAATACCAGGTACATTTGCTTTTGGGTGACAAGCCTTAAGACCTTATCTTTAATGGCCTTACAAATGCAAGAACGAGCTTTAGCTTTACCAAGGAAGCGTAATTGGAGGCAACAAGCTAGTATTGCAGGCGGCGCGGGTATCCCATAAAGTGGAAGATGACAAATGAATAGCCTTTTAGTGTTTATGGAGCATGCACAATTTGGAGTCATTAATGGAGGTGGTGAACCAAAAATAGGCATTAATGAAGAAGAATTACTGTCCATGGAAGCCGGTGAAATGGAACTAGACATCGATCGAGAAGAATTGTTGTTCATGGAATCAAGGACCAGTGCTGAAGGAGGGTCGGCGGTGATTGGAGCTTGTCCACTTACAATGACAAAGAAGAGAATGTTGAGAAAGGGTAAGAGAGTAGTTGAGGACTGGGGAGGCTTAAGGCAATTGGAGGCCTAAAGCGAAAACACTAAATTAGGTCTTTTTTATTTTTAATATTAATTTTTTTTAAAAAATAATTTATTTTCAATTTATTATATGAGAAACCGAAGAATGATGTACTAGGGTTACCAAAAAAAATATTTTAACTTTTATTTTTGTTTTTTTATCAGAAAGAGAATTTAATTTTACCTTTTTTTTAACGTTTTGTACTAGTTTTTACACAGAAAGAGAGAGAGTATGGATAAATATGAATTGATTTTTTAATTCTTTTTATTTTTTCAACTTATGATTTTTAGATTTCTAATGTTATGAATTGAATCATGGACCCAAATTATTACAATAAAAATGTTGATTGTACTTAATATTTTGGGGCTTTTTTTTTTTATGGTTTAAAATTTAAATGATTTAATTTTTTTATGGGTTATTAATGTACATAAAAATTGGGGGCCCAAAGCCCATGTTTTTTTTTTTTTAATGATGTTGAGCCGGCCGTGGTTGAAGAAGGAAACTTGGTGCTCATCTCTGCAAAATCTTTAGGTCAAATGTAGTTCTTTTTTTAGTGGAGTTTAAGGGTGTAGTGTGAATTGAGGAATAAAAAATTTTGCTGCTGTTGATGCTATTTATAAAATGTGTGAAATTTATCCCTCATGAATACCTTAATTATGACATGGATGATCTATTTTTAACCAAATCGGGGACAAAAAAAATGACTCTTCATGGGTTGCTCTTTAGTTGAAATGTACATTTTCAATGGAAGACTATCCCATTTCTTTGTTTTACTAGGCCTTTTGCTGGTCCAAATTAAGCATATATATTAGGGCTCACTATCAATTCAATAATTATGAATAATTAGGTAAATTAGATTTAAGTAGTATTGCTCTTTTGCTAATGCGCTCTCTCTCTCAAAATTAAACAAGGTGATTTCCTTTGACTAGAGATTTAATTACATGAAGTTTGACATTTACCAAATGTACTTTTTATGAATTGCAGCTAAGAATTCTTTGTCTAGCTACCTTGTCCACATGGTCGCAAAAAGGCAATCCGTTCCCCCTCCAAACTTTAGGCTAATGTTTTTTAAACCCATTTGCACAAATTTGGCCCCATTACGATGTTGGGTTTGTCGTGAGAATATGAAACGGTAATACTCAGTTTGATATAACTACACATGTTAGAGTCGGGTTTGTGTGGTGTATAAAATTTGTAGTTTTAATCCACAACAGCTAAGGATTCTTTGTCCACCATGTCCACATGGTCACAAAAAAGCAACCATGCCCCTCCAACTCCAATTTAGGCTGTTGATATATAATAAGCCCATTTACACAGCTAACTCTCCCCCCCCCCCCCCCCCCAATATGGTGTGTAGGTCTCACCAAACAGCCCAAAGCTCAATAGACCGCGTACGACTTAAAAGCTTGACGGGCAACTTTACTCGTACATGTGACTGGACTTGGGTAGCCCTCCAGCCTGGCGGGTAGGGCCTGACCATATTTTTTAGGGGGGGGGGGGGGCAGTGGGCCAACATGTTAAGAAGTTTGTTAGCCCGCCCATTAGCCTAATAAAATAATTATATTATATTTCATAATTGTATTATTTATTTGATATTTGATCTGTAACTTTTATAAGTTGAGATTTACAAATTATTGACAGTTGTGTAGGTGCCAATCTAAATAGGATGTACTCAATTTGTATATAACATTGTAACTCTATATGAATATTTGTTAAATTCAATCAATATGAATAATTTTTTTATTAATTTATTTTTTCATACCAACTTCATGTAATTGATGTCTTTTTTGTATTTTTTTACTTAAAAAAATAATTTTTTAATAAAAAGTCTGTTTCAGGCCCAATGATGCGGATCGTGAAGCCCAACCCGTATTTGGCCCAATAGACAAGCCCACAGGACAGGCCATGGGCCTTAAAAATTCATAATGAGTGGGCTCAGCCTGTTGACTAGTCAAAGCCCAAAGGGCTGGCCCATGGGCTGAAAAAATGTCAGGTTGGGCCAGCCTATTTCCAAGACTTAATGGGGTGTTCGTAGGAAACTGTAATACTTGTTTAATACCGTATTGTATGTATTTAGTAGCTAAAAACTTTTTTATTGATGATAAGAAAAGCATTGCATATTAAAAGTGATGCCATAATATTATTAAATCAAAAGTTTTTAAAATGTATGAACATTCAAAAGTTGAAGGATAATCTAGAAAATTAAAATTTTATGGTATTTAAAAAAAAGTTAAATGACGATATAAAAAATGAAGATGTACTTGAACATTATTATTTTTACATTTTCAATTTGCATGCCACTAATTTGTAGGCACGACACATGACAAATGACAATATCTTCACATAATACTCCACAAAATGGAAGTAATTGTATTCATTGTTTGTTTTTGTGAGAAAAAATAAATAAAAGAGAAATGCTATTTAGACTTAAAAATTTGACAATTATAGTTATTGGATCGATACTAAGTTTTAATGTTTAATGGAACTTACAGTCAATCTAAAAGTCATGACAACATTGTTCAAAATAGAATATACATGTGTTAAGAGAGAATACCGAATAGTTTAATTTTTAATTTGTGATTGAACTATGATTTGTTGGACTTGGTACACACACTGCTTGTAAATTGTGACCCTTTGTATTAGGGTTTGTGCTAAACTAAGGTTATAATTGGAAGAATTGATTACCACTCTCGCTTGTGTCTTATAAGTAGGCCTAAATTTTTTTAGCACGACTCACCAATTTGATACAAATAGACAAGTTTAAGTTTAGTTTTAGTGAGTTCGGGTGGTAAACGAGTAAGTTTATTAAATTTCTCAAATAAATGGGTTGACACAATACTTAATAAACACGACATGAACACAACTTATACACTACACTACATAAATCCGACTCATGGATATAAATGAATTAGATATGTGTTGAACAAATTTTAATATGACAGATACTAGATACAACCAATGAAACTCCTACTTATAACTTCATGCCAATTAAAAATCAGATTTTATAGCTGGCTGCAAGCATTTAAGGATTATCATGTAGATTTTCTTTTTATTGATAATTAATAACAGTAGATTTTTCATTTATTACACAAAAAGAAAAACAGCTGTGCACTTATTAAAGACAGATGGTTGTGTTGCTAAGGAAATGAGAACCAAGAGTAGGACAAAGCTGGTTAGATATGATATGGCAGAAGGGATGAGCACACGATAAAGTAATTAGGGAAAATTTCATCCACACTCTTTATAATTAGATCTAAATTCAATGTTATCCCCTCTTTATTTTGAAACTTTACTGTTATCCCCCTGTAAGTGTTTGTCGAATTATTGCTTTAACGACGATTATTAATTTATAAAAATACCCCTGAATATTTTATAGGATAAATTTTATTCACACCCCTTGTAAATAAACATAACTTCAACGACACTCCATGTAAATAAACTTATCTTTAACAATACCCCTCCTAATTTTGAAATTTTAATGCACTCTCTTTTAGTTCTATTGTATTAACTTTTACATTTATCAATTTAATATTTAATTTTATCAAATTAATGTGATTTATTTAATTTAAACTAAATTAACATTCTATATCATCAAATCAACACAAATTAATATTTAATTTTATCAAATTAGCATTTAGTTATATTAATTTAATATTTTATTTCATCAAATTAATATTATTTCTTTAATTTAACATTAAATTATTATTTAATTTCATCAAATCATGACATTTAATTTTTTTTAAATTAAAAATTAATATATTAAATAGAATATTAAATTTTATTAATTTAACATTTAACCTTATCAAATTAATGTTAGTTATTTAATTAAACACCAAATGAACATTTAATTTCATTAAAGCAACATTTAAATTTTATCAAATCAACACTGAATTAATATTTAATTTTATTAAATCATGAATTAATATTTAATTTTATCAAATTAAAACTAAATTATTATTTAAATTTATCATATTAAAACCAAATTTATTTAATTAATATTAAATTTTATATATGAAGGGTGATGCATGGAGAGTTGTCAGGTGACGTTGTGGAAGACAGACGATAATAGAGAAGTTAGAAATGGATGGAGTTTTGACACTAATTTTATCGATTGTAATTTTATTATAGAAAAATTATTTTTAACTATAAAATAAATTTAAAAACCTGTAATTTATAACGAACAACAAAAAACATACTACAGAAGCAACTTAGGTAATATAAAAAAATAAGAAATTGAAAAGTGTACGTCTTACCTAACAACTTATAAGAATATGAACTTAATAACTAAAAAATCTAACAGGTGTTTTGGATGAAAAAAATTAAAACTATTTGCATGAAAAAAAAATTTTAAAAAAATCTGCATGAAAAAAATTTTAAAAAAATCTTCATGAAAACATTTACAAATCTACAAGAAAAAAATAATTTCTTTTTTTTACCAACTTTGGTAATGATTGATCATTTTTGAGAACGAGTTGAAGATTAATAATTAGTTTTAGTCTCCTATGTCTTCTAGCAACCCTATATCGTTTTGGACCTTCATAAACAACAAAAAATGTAGTATATATAGTGGAAAAATAGTTGATAACATTTTAATATATTTACATAAGGAATTGTAGTTTTGACATTTTCAAAAAATTTATAGTCAAACCGTTAGTTTTTGTATTGACAGAGTTAAAAATTACCGTTAAGAGGGTATTTTTGATTTGAAAGTATAAATCAGAAGGGGATGCAATGAAGTTTTTGAATCAGAAAAAGGTGCCTTTCAATTTAGACCTAACTAGAGGGGGTGTGGATGAAATTTTTACGATTAATTGAGTTAGGCAAAAAAGACTTTCTGGTTCAGCCATTTTCATGCCCAAAAAACTCCTAAACTTGAATTTTGATTTCAATTTCCTATCCAAAATAACCATGATTTTGTAATTATTTACAATTGTTTTGTTAACGCTATACAACTAACTCATATATAGGCAACTTTCTCTATAGTTCTTTATGTATAATTCACTAGAGGTGCAATTCGGGCGGGTTGGACAATCAACTCTACCCCAACCCTAAGTATATAATCGTCAACCCTAATCCTAACCCTATCTCGGGTTGGAGAACTCAACCCGAGCACTGCCCAAGTTTAATTCGGGCGGGCTTGGGTTGAATTCGGGTTGATGATTTCAGATTGATTTCGAATTTAATTCGGGTAGAGCCCAAAATAGACTTGTTGTTCTAAACATAATACATATATTACATAATATTCACCTAAATTAACAACCAATAACTTCAACCAAGTTTTTAACGAGAGAGGCTGAGAGAACGAGAGAGACAAAGAGAACGAGAGTGACAGAGAACGATTGAACAAAAATGAAAAATCAGTTCTAATGTTTTATACATATATATAATTTTTTTTTAATTTGTCGGGTTCGGGTTGAACTCGGATTCACGAGACCTTAACTTGAGCCTAACTCAAATTGAATTCGGGTTACGATTTTTGACCCAAGCCCAACCCAAGTATTAAAAACTCTTGCCCAAACCCTAATTTTTTCGGGTTGAGCTTGGGTTGAAATCGGGTTGCCCAACTCAAGTTGCACCCCTATAATTCACTCGTTCAATAGTAAATTTTGGGGTGTGTCTCGGTGATTTCTTTATTCCCAATCTTTAATTTGAATATAAATCTATGTGTATTTGTGTCTCGCACCAAATCCTGAATATGACATAGGATAATTTATTCATAACAATAACCATTAAAATTCAACTGGAAACACAATTTTATTATAACTATGCCATTACACTCTTCTTATTAGAAACCATATTGGTAAAGGTGAACATGGATACCAAAGAGATTTAAAAGGGTAATTGAACATTGAAACCTTCAAATCACAATAGAAAGCTAGTGCTCAAGCACAATGAAGGTTATCAGTTGCTAGCCCTACAAGTGACATGTAAGTAATAACAGGTACACTTGTTTTTGGATGACAAGCCTTAAGACCTTATCTTTAATGGCCTTACAAATACAGGAACGAGCTTTAGCTTTACCAAGGAAGCGTAATTGGAGGCAACAAGCTAATATTACGGGCGGTGGCGCACTTATCCCATAAAGTGGAAGATGACAAATGAATAGCCTTTTAGTGTTTATGGAGCATGCACAGTTTGGAGTCATTAATGGAGGTGGTGAACCAAAAATAGGCATCAATGAAGAAGAATTACTGTCCATGGAAGCCGGTGAAATGGAACCAGACATCAGTTGAGAAGAATTGTTGTTCATGGAATCAAGGACCGGTGTTGAAGGAGGGTCGGCGGCGATTGGAGCTTGTCCACTTACAATGACAAAGAAGAGAAATTTGAGAAAGGATAAGAGAGTAGTTGAGGAAGGGAACTTGGTGCTCATCTTTGCAAAATCTTTAGGTCAATGCAGTTCTTTTTTTAGTGGAGTTTAAGGGTGTAGTGTGAATTCAGAAATAAAATTTTTTGCTGTTGTTGATGCTATTTATAGAATGTGTGGGATTTATACCTCATAAATATCATAGTCTTAACGTGGATGATCAATCTTTGACCAAACCGGGGAAGAGATTAGTCGAAATACACATAAAATTTCTCGAACACTCTTGACCGTTGAACAAAAAAAAATGACTCTTCATGGGTTGTTCTTTAGGTTGCAATGTACATTTTCAAAGGAAGACTGTCCTATTTTTCGCCTTACTAGGCCTTTTGCCGGTCCAAATTAAGCATATATATATTAAGGATTACTGTCAATTTAATAGTTATGAATGATTAGGACAACAAATTAAGTCCAAGTAGCATTGCTCTTTTGCTAATGTTCTCTCTCTAAAAATTAACCAAAGTGATTTCCTTTGACTAGGGATTTAATTACAAGAGTTAGCAGTAATCAATATTGCGAGTGCAATTTACGCTAGCAGGTTGTTTTGGCCATCAAATTATTCTCTCTCTCTCATTCTCTAATTGCATTGCAATGACCCAAGGAAACAAAATCAACTAGACTTTATTAAGTTTTCCTCCTTAGTTATTTTTGGAAATAAGAATTGATTATACTTTCATTGGTTGTTCATGCTAATTGATCATTTGAACTTAAAGACAAAGACTAATAAATGGAAGGCCATGAGATGCATTAGTAGAAAAAGAATCTAGACTAATAATTTTGTCATCTTGTATTAAATTTATATGATTCGATCTAGATTTATATCGTATTGAGTTCGTTCGCGAATAAGTACCCATGTTTAGCTTATATATGGTTTGGCATATGGTTGTGTAATCGAAGAGATGAGAACCAAGAACGGGACAAAGCTGGTTAGATAAGGTTTGTAAGAAGAGATGAGCACACAATAAAATTAAGTTAGACTAAAGGCTCTTTCAAGGCAATTAGTTCATCCATGTGCGAACCCAAACAACTCGTAAACTTGAGTTTTGATTTTAGTTGTCTATCTAGAATAACCACGGTTTTACATGCTTGGCTCTTAATTCCGTCAATTAAGGCATATTAAAAAAAACCCTATAACATGTTATTGAACATCCAGTCAATATGTATCATGTATGGATCTAACTTTATAAGCCATGTTTGATTGAGTATACTCTGTAATTCTTTAAAATTATTTTGTTAACGCTATACACTATACACATACAATCTTCTCTGTAGGTCTCTATGTCGTTATATAGTGAATTTTCTGGGGTGTCTCTTCATGATTTTTAATTTTTTGATCTTTAGTGTTAATGTAAATCTTTGTGTTCTTATGTACATGTTGTTTCTTTGCATATCGCCGAATCCGAAATTAGGAGAGTTTATTCATAAAAAAAAAACTATATTATAGGAGTAATGCTACACTGACCAAATTTTGAGACCAAATTTGAAGTCGAAATGACATGGTAGCTGACTTGAGCTTCTTTATTTGGTGTCATGTCATTTAAGCCCCAATAAAGACTCCAATTAATATGCTGTCATGTCATTTGGACTCTAAATTTGGTTCCAAAATTTGGTCAGTATAGCATTACTGATATTATAGTTGGAACAAATAGACATAACAGATTACCAACTTCAACTAGGAATATAACTATATTAATTATAATTTTGTCATTACACTTGTCTTATTAGAAACTATATATATATAGGTAAAGGTGGCATGGGTACTAAAGAGATTTAAAAAGGTAACTGAACATTGAAACCTTCAAATCACGGAAGAAAACTAGTGCAAAAGCACAAGGAAGGTTATGAGTAGCTAGCCCTACAAATGACATGCAAGTAATAACAGGTACACTTGCTTTTGGATGACAGGCCTTAAGATCTTATCGTTAATGGTCTTATAAATGCTGGAACGAGCTTTAGCTTTACCAAGGAAGCGCAATTGGAGGCAACAAGCTAGTCGAGCAGGCGACGACTGTACCCCATAAAGTGGGAGATAGCAGATGATTAACCTTTTAGTGTTTATGGAGCATGTACAGTTTGGAGTCATTAACGGAGGTGGTGAACCAAAAATAGACATCAATGAAGAAGAATTACTATCCATGGAAGCCAGTGAAGCGCAACAAGACATTGGTTGAGAAGAATTGTTGTCCATGGCATCAAGCACTGGTGCTGAAGGAGGGTCAGCTACGCTTGGAGCTTGTCCACTTACAGTGACAAAGAAGAGAATGTTGAGAAAGAAAAAGAGAGTAGTTGAGGAAGGGAAATTGATACTCATTTCTACAAAATCTTTAGGTCAATATAGCACAATGAAGGTTTTGCTGCTACTGGTGATGGTGGCTGGCAATTTATAGAATGTGCCCCTTTGTCCCATGGTTCTTCATGGCTTGCTCTTTAGGTTTCAATGTATGTACATTTTCAAGGAAGACTGACCCATTTCTTTGTCTTACTAGGCCTTTTGCTGGCCCAAATGAAGCATAGATATCAAGGGCCACGATCAATCCAATGATAATGATGATTAAGTCCACAAATTAAGTAAGTAAATTAAGTTTTAATAACATTGCTCTTTTACTAATGCTTTTTCTCTCTCTCAAAATCAACCAAGGTGAATTCCTTTGACTAGGGATTTAATTACAAGAGTTAGTAATAATCAATATTGTGAGTGCAATTTACACTAACAGGTGGTTTTAGCCATCAAATTAATCTCTCTCTCTCTCACTCTCATTGCATTGCATTGCATTGTAATGATCTGAGGAAGCAAAATCAACTAGAATTTATTATGTTTTCCTCAGTTATTTTTGGGAGTAAGAATTAATTATACTTTTATTGGTTGTTCATTTTGATCTATCGTTTGAACCTTAAGATAAAGACTAATAAATGGAAGGCCACGAGGTGCAATAGTTGACAAAGAATCTAGACTTATAATGTTGTCATCTTGTGTTAAAATATATTCAATTCATATGATTCAATCTACTTATCATTGTTATTGTTGAATTTATATTATATCAAGTTCGTTCGCAAATAACCCATGTTAGATATGATTTGGCATATGGTTATGTAGTCGGGAGATGAGTACCAAGAATGGGACAAAGGTGGTTATAAATTAGATATGGTTTGGAAGAAGAGATGAGCACACAATAAAAGTAAGCTAGACCAAAGGGTCTTTCGAGGCAATTAGTTCATCCATGTTCTAACCCAAACAACTCATAACCTTGAGTTTTGATTTCATCTGTCTATACAGAATAACCATGGTTTTATAGGCTAGGCTCTTAATTCTGTCAATTTAGGCATATTATGGATCTAACTTTTTAGATCATACTTGATCGAGGATACTTTGTAATTCTTTATAATGCCATACAACAAATGCATAGACAACCTCCTCTGTAGCTATCTATGTTTTTCTCTCGGTGATTTTTTTTTGATATTCAAGTTTCATGTAATCGACACAGTCTTATACATAGTTTCTTTATGCCAAATAATGGATTAACAAAAATACAATTGTATCATTTCATTGGTCTAATTAGAAACTATAATAACAAAGAGATTTGAAGAGGTAACGGGGAATTAATTAAGCCTTCAAATCATACACAAAAATTGTTTCTTAAACGCAATGAAAGTTATGAGTAGCCTACATGCCAAATGTAAGTAATAGTATGCTCACTTGCTTTGGGATGACAGGCTTTAAGATCTTAGCTTGAATGGCTTTGTAAGTGCAGGAACGTGCTTTAGCTTTTTTAAGGAGGCGCAATTGGAGGCAACAAGGCTTTTTCGTGGGTAGCAACCAAGGTACACCATAAAGTGGGAGTGCAAAGATGGCTAGTCTTTTAGGGTTTATGGGGCAGGTACAGTTTGGAGTCATTGATGGAGGTGATGAACCAAAAATAGGCATCGATGATGGAGTTGAAATACTATCCATTAAAGTCGGTCTAGGCATCGATGGAGTAGAGCGAGTCATTGGTACTAAAAAAGAATTGAGGAAGAGGAAGAACATAGTTGAGGAAGGGAACTTGGTGCTCATCTTTGCAAACCTTTAGATCATGTAGGTATTTTTAGCGGAGTTCAAGGTTTAATGTGATTGAGGAATTAGAAATGTTGCTGCTACTTATAGGATGACCTTTGACCCATGACCTTTTACAGTTTGCTCTTTAGGTTATGGTGTATGCTAATGCTCTCTCTCTCTAAACTAACAAAGGTGTTTTCCTTTGACTAGGTATTTTGACAAGCTCAGATTTAACTGGGTCAGGCCCAATTAATGAGCTAGGCCCAAATCAGCTACAAGGCGAGTCAAGCCCAATTCATGGATTCGGCCCAGTCTAGAGTTCAAGGAGTTTAGAAGGATTAGAGCACGTAAAGAACAATTATCGGGATACTCACTTTCGAAGATCAATGCAACCTTTAATTGTACTTACCTTTTGTAGCTCCCCGAAGGTCTAGTACATTTACCCTCATTCACCGCCTTAACTAAGGCTTTGTACCTATAAATTGTGAGTTCTCTCTATATGAGAGGATATCTCTCTACACACCCCACACATTGATTTTTTCTCTCCTAGCTATTGTATCCCTCTTGGGACTGACCATTGCACTCTCTCTCATTCTCCCTCGTTCACCTTACTTAATCAATAAAAGGTCCCTCGGCCACCGTTGTCATTTTTCGGAGTGAAGTAGGTCATTCAAACCGAAACACTATATATCTGCGTGTTGACCCGATATTTACATTATTGCCTTTGATTGTTCTATTTATTGTCCAATTAATAGAACGCTATCACATACTCGACTGCTGATCTTGTATGAGACTATTTTGTGCATAATCAGATTGACGTCGTCTATGGGAAGCGATTAAGCTTTCTACTACCTTACTATTATCTTTCAAATACATGACGATCACGACTAGGTCGATGAGTCAACAATCGAGGGATAATAACCCAGCCTATCAGGAGGAGGCTCCGCCTCCGCCCATACCCACAGAACCATCCACTGCGGAGACTCCCGTGGTCGGGCAACAATTTTTATAGACCATGCTGCTGCTGGTAAACCAGAACTAGCAAATCATCTAGTTGATGCTCGCCCCGGGAGCCATCGCCCCTCATCCTATAGGAGGAACACCATTCCCTCCGACGAGAGAAGCACTACAACCTCTCCACTCTAGGCGCCAAGCCCCCCTCACCGTGGGGCCCTGCGTCAGAACACCCCCAGGTAGCGCCAGGGCGCCTCTCACCCGAAAGTCTACATTACCACGGGAATCCCTGGAGTCTACACCGCCATGGGAGTTCTCGAAGTCTATACCGCTACAGGAGTCTATATCACCGCGGGAGTTCTGGGAGTCTACATCATCACGGGAGTCTTGGGAGTTTACACTACCACGGGAGTCCTAGATGTCTACACTGCCACAGAATTACTAGGAGTCTACACCACCACGAGAGTCCTGGGGCTGGGAGTCTACACTGTCACGGGAGTCTCGGGAATCTACATTGCCAGGGAGTCCTGGGAGTCTACACCACCACAAGAATCCTAGGAGGAAGAATCACGCACTCCTGCCCTCTCCTGCTTAGTGTATAATGCCTCCACCCACCATGAGGCAAGCCCAGACACTATCCAGAGAAAGCCCGATGTCTCGGAGATAGTTCCACAGACCTTAAGAGACCACACTTCGAGACTAGAGGCACCCGATTCCTTTGTGCCTACTCTACGAGAGCCCTTCGCGCCCTCGCTACCATTTACTATACCATGTTGGAGACTATACATGGATGAGTCCTCCACCAGCGAGGACGGCGGCTCAGAACTAGTGCTGATCAGTCCTATGACACTCCACTCAAGTACGTTGTCTCCCTCCGCTTTGTAACATCCAACTACCAAGCTGAATATGGGGCCCTCAAATCAGACTTGAAGCTTGCATTGGAAATAGAGGCTCTCTGTCTGACAGCTTGTAGTGAATCACAGTTGATAGTCAACCAAGTGAGAGGAGGGCTCCCTTGGCATTCATACCTAGCGCTCAAACGCCCTAATGCCTAGGCACCTATGCCAACCAACGCCCTAGCGCCCAACACCAGCGCCAAACAGTGTCAGCGCATCTGCCTATGTAGTGGTGTAGCCTAAATCGCTTGCAAGGCGTCACCCAGGGCCACTGTCTACCCAGTAGCGTCGCCCAGACTGCTCAGCTCCAAGGCGTTGCTCACAATCCTCAGCGTGCACACTAGCACTCAGCTCTTAGCACCAGCCAGTGTCAGCGCCTAGCGCCTACTAGCCAACAGCCCAGCCTGCATCACCCATAGCCACTACCTAGTGGTATCACCCTCTGCCTTCAACCGTGGTGTCGCCCAGTTGGCCTACAATGTCTCCTCCTGTCACCCACATCTTTGGTGCCACCATACCTGTACCCAGAACTTCTCGACGTCCATGACCAGCGACATCCAGCACCCCTCGGTGTCTATGTCTAGCGGTGCCCAGCGGCCCATGACATTTGTGCACAACAGCGCCTAGTGCCTCTCGGTGTCCGTGCCTAGCGACACCCAGCGCCCCTTGTCGTCCTCACGCAGCGGCCATGTCTTAATCTCCAGCTTAGCGGCTCTCACGAGAGTCGCTAAAAACAGGGTCTATATCTATCTTTACTTTCATGCAAAAGACCTATATCTCCAGCTTAGCGGCTCTCTCGAGAGTCGCCAAAATCTTGACCTATCTCTGTTCTACTCTCAAGAAGAGAGCTTATATCTTCAACTTAGCGGTTCTCACA